GCAAGTTATTTTACGTTGTTTTTACAGTATTCAAACCCATGAAACGTCACATCACGAGGTCAATTTTAATAGTTTTGTCTACCTAGCTGATTTCAGGTATTTAAGCCCAAATTAATAACACGCAAATTAAAAATTACAGCTTAAGTTGGCATAACAGCAATAGACTTAGTGAATATGAGAACGTGTGCGTGCTGCCAATCTTCGAATCTAACTGGCAGTCTGTTTTTGTCGCAATCTGGGCGTTTAGATGTTGCTCTTACATTAAGTTATTCGGGGATTCAGAAGTCAACCATGCATGGAATCGTCTTGTCAATATATTTGCATTTAGTATAGAACGAGAGCGGCAAGTTTAAATATCGGCTAGCGTAAGGATTAAAGAATGGAAAGGAGAAAAAGCATAATGGAAGTATTATCAAAGTCCGAATAATGCGAAATGCTGATAAAAAATTCAGGTGCATCTTACGTTCATTATGAGGAAGACGGGTAAGCCCAGGCTTCGGGCTGACCAACCTATCAGAAGAAGCGCCCCTTTGGCGTTCTGATTCTAGGTTGGACCGAGACGTGAGGTCTTGTGGACCATCCTCGTTCTGCCAAGTTGTGGAAGAAATGGGATTGGTTGTGCCAAAACTAGCGATACCTTGCGGAACCTTTGGTTGAAAAAAGGGATAAAATCCTATAAATATGTTCGAAAAAAGGAAGATATTTACTTTTCGGTAGATGTTACCTCCTGAGAAAAAAACTGCAAACGTCTTCAAATAATCCGCTCTTGGTTTTTTTAAATATGTAAACGTGCTTTCAATTCTGTTTGCATGCGATAAGCAAGCGTTGAATAAGGATCTAAATCGATTGTCTCATTATCTTAAAAGAGCCCTAAAAGTTTGGCCAGGATTCCCTTAGCCTCATCGAGTTCAGACGAATAAATCGGGGAGCGTTGCTCAAATCGTAGCAGTCACCATGTACAGTTTGGGACAACTTTACACTTTTTCTACTAGAAATTATGACTGACGCTGTCTGATAGAATCAGTAAGATTTTTTATAATGTCCAAAATGAAAAAGGAAGTCAGACATAAATTTATAGGTGTCTATTTGATGGGCGACTAGCCGCTGAAAACAATGTAATAGATAACGCTTTAAAACTTTGAGACATGCATTGTTTTAGGACTCCACGAGTGGACCATTAAGATTGATGCTTAAGGTCTAAAAACCTCTGCGTTTTTCTTTTTTACTTCCTATACATTGAAAGTTACATGGGAGGACTGACATAGGCAGCATTAAATCTTCAAACAGGCAATAGTTTTGACTTTATACCTTTTCTGGAGTCTCTGGGATGGAGTATGAGATTCCTGACGCTGGAGTTTTCTGACCATCTGTTAAAACAAAACAAAAAGATGCTAACTAGAATATTTAAATACCTCAAGCTTCAGCCCATGTTATATTTGCGTGCATCTTGAAGCAGAGTAAAGTCCTGGCAGAGGTTCTGTCCGCTTTCGAGCAGCTATCATAGTGCCAACGAAACCACGCAACGTTTTATGATTCTAATCTCTACTTTCTAATGTTTTGTATACTGTCATCTTTGTCATGTATTTTCGGTGTAGTACAACCTACCAAGATGTCCGTGGATGTATGTAACTAATTCGAGGCCATATTTACATTTTTTCTGCTAGCAAATAGAAAAATGAGAAGTCAAGTTCGGCAAACATATGTTTTCAGCAAATCATTATCAGACCAAAAAATTTACAGGGTAATTAAAACTGTACAGTTCGACAGGGTTAAAATAAATAGAAAATAGAAAACTATCAGCCGTAGGGAGCTACCGAAAATGAAGTTGTGGACCTCTTTGCAATTTGTACATGACGAAGAATCCTAATATTATTTGACACGATATGAAGTAAAATTGGCCAAGAGGCATTGCTCAAAGCTGACGTAGCATAAAAAACTATAGATTATGCATTTAGGAATCCATCTCTATTATCAGAGACCAAAAATCGGGGTTGGAGCGACAGATAAATTTGTATGTCTGCTTAGCTTTTACCGGACTTATAAATGGGCAGCTCCTTAGCAGGCATGTTCGCCTCCTCCACAATTTTTAGAGCAAATACCGGCAGTGAGTTGTAGCTTGAAGCAATGTACCCAAAGAAAGATATTTAGATGGCTGCTCAGCTACGGTACTAGATAGTGAGGGCACAGAGCGTACATGCTGTCTTAGCCGACTTTTAATTTTTTTAAATTGGAATTCCTTGGTAGGTACATGGTTTTGTAGATTACTGCGTCTCCTCTATTCTCCTATGTTTATACAGACGAGGCAATGTTAGTTAAGTGGCAAGAAAAAAAGCGCTACCTGCATAGTTCGGGGATTGCGCGGGAAGTGCCTCCGCTCCGGGAACTTCGATTCGACTAGCACCGGAGGATGGCAGGCTGCCCCTCCGATCATTCGTTAACGTGCAAGAGTTTCGTTCTGTTGTATCTCCCTCTGCTACAACTATCTTTTCAGTCGCTGACTCAGAGGCCTCAACGATGTCTGCTGAGGATGCCTGCGTCAAACTTTTCTCGAATGTTGTCATCTGTGGTTGGCTGGTTGGCGTCGTGTGACCGGAGTTTCTGGCCTTTCCTTCTGCCTCTTCTTCGGTCGCTCGGTCTGGCAACGAAGGTGTTTTAATGATAATTCTTGCCGATCCATGCATCACTATAGTGTGCTCATGTAGATCTCGGGCTTTTAAGAAGGTCATTTTACAGAGGCCACATTGCAGGACCCAACAACAAGCACGCTGCTCTCCGTCGTTCCAATTTTTGCCCATTCGTCGACTACCTGACGAATTTTTAACTTCTAAAAAGAAACGAAAGTCGTGGGATTGGAAGTAAACCCTTGATAAATACTCATGTAGTGTCAAAATGTTTGCTCCATGTGAAGGAAATAGAAAACGACAGGAAAATATAGTTAAACGTTCTTGGGAGTATTTTGTAATTGGCAGGAAGCTACCACTGACCCCAGTTAATGAGATTGATTGCCCTTCCGTTTTATAATATCTAATCAATTTGGAAATTTACCGTAGGATAAGAGACTTCAGGAAGGCCTTTTCTGGCTTATTTGCCATCTTCAGCTGAGGATACTCTACTCCAGTGTAGCAGTGAGAATTGCCGCCCACTCGAGTTTCAAACCCACGTCTCTCTGGTCAGAGGCAAACGCCTTAACCATTGAGCTATCGGGCCCGACGTCTTGACGGTTATTGATCGGGAC